CGGCGCCTTCTCCTTCGCGACCCCTGGCTCCGGAGCCTCTGGGCGGACCAACTGACCCGACAGAAGAAAAATAACCGCCACGAGGAGGACGTCAGAAGTCCCTCCCCGAGGCGATGCCCACGCACGGAAGTGCCTTTGACCTGCGCTTTCATTGGCTCAACTGCGCCACCGTTGGCGAATTGCCCTCTGGGTAGTGTAGTTTCCACAGATACGCAGGTGGAGTTAGAGGTCCCAGTTGTCCACCTCGAGGAGTAAACGTTCTGCACGGCCCAGAAATACAGCCATTATTTTGTAATGACTTTAATGGAGTAAAATCTATAAAAATATTGACCCACTATGTTGTACACCTGAAACTAATATAATATTGTAAGTCAATTATACTTCAATTTAAAAAAGAAAGAAAAGAAAATGGTTCCAGGGCACTGAGAGTGGCACTGGGAAATGACGACTTTAACCTTCAGGGAAAGGAATGCACTTATCCCTTTTTAAAGGGGCCGTTCTCAGGTTTGGGGGAGTGTTGTCTGCAACTGATCACTTGTTTAGAGACATTATTTCAGACTCCGTAAGCTCAGAATGCCCCCTGTGGCTAAAAATTTTATCTCACTTATCCCCAAAGGCTACAAATGCAAGTGAACATATTCTCATTCAGACACAAAATTCATCCACTCTTAGCAGGAATATAATAAACATTTTCTTGCTATTCAAATGCACGCAGTCAGAAGTGTCAGTATTGTAATTGTATGTTCAGTTAGAACCATGACTTGGAAGATAAGGAGAGATGTTTAAACAGCCCTGAAATGAGAGGACGAGTTAGCTCTGCCTGATTCCTAGAGAACACCTCTCCTACCTATATACTCAGTGATCGTGTCCAAATCATAAAGCAGCACTGTTCATCCACTTAATATTTTTTACTCAATAACCTAGAATATATTTAATTTTTTTAGGAATCTGACATCTATCTTAAACAGAGAGCAACTTATGAAATTTCATTTTGATATGGGATAGTGCCTACTTAGTGAGTGATAGTGTTCTCAGGCAGAGCACATGTGCAAAGGGGGCATCTAAACCCCCATCATCTCATCTCCTAGTTGAGAGGAGGTTATCGTTTCTTCAGTGATTGCTGGGACTGTTGTGTGTGAGGAATTGACGATACAGCAGGAAAAAAATTTGTGAAATGCAAATTACAGGAAACAATTGATGATTATGCAGTTATTTAAAGATAGTGGTAGAGATATCTCTGTAGAAACAATCTGGGGAGGGTGAAAAGGTTAAGACCTCAATAATTTTTATTAGGAGACACTGAAGTCTGAGAAGAGATGAGTTAAGATCAGCTCAATCGTCCCCCCCTCATTTAAACATTTATTTAAAAAATTTTAATTGAGATATAGTTTATTTTTAATATTATATTAATGTCATGTATACAGCATAGTGAAGGAGAAATAATAAAATGGCCACATTAGGCTAACTAATTCTTGGCCTTATACTTACTGTTTGCTTTTAAAATGGTCAGCAAGTCTGACTGCGCCCCAGGCCCACTGTTAGAGTTAAAGTTATTGATTTCCTTGTTTGTTTTACCTCACTCTGGCAAGTGAAATTTACAGTCATGTTTGGATTCTGAGTCATTTCCGCAGGAAGGGAGTTGCGGGACAATAATCTCAGGAAAATGACCTGACCCTCCAAAGTTCCTCCTGGAGCCTGACAAGTCTTAACAGATAAAGAAGGTCATGGGGCCAGTGACCCTCCAGACCACCGGATGGTCCCATGATGCCAGACAGACTCGCCAAGATTCAGGAGGTAGCTTCCCCCAGAGACTCTTGCTGATTGATAGCCCCTTTTATGCCCCAGTTTGCTCACTAGATAATCACTAAGCCCCATCTCCAAGGTGGGTTCACAGTGTTGAAGGCACTAGCCTTCTGGGAGTCCCCTTTGCCTGGCAAAGCTGTAAAGCTGCCTCTTTTCTTCTAAGCTCCAAGACCTTGTCTCCGAGTTATTTGGCTCATCAGGGATGGGGGCTGACCTTTCAGCAACAAACTTGTGGCACCCAGTTCATGGCCAGAACTCCCCTCTTTTCTAAGAGAGGCCTTAGGTTCCGCCTTGCTGCTGGGCCAACAGGGCTTGGATGATTGCTCCTCCGTGCTGATGGGTGGGACACGGAGAATGGAGCCCCTTTTGCTCTAGGGATCCTTTTCATCCCTTACCCTTCCACCTATCAATGGACCACTGTCGCCCAAACTGAGTCCTTGGAGGAAGAAAAGACGGCTCTGTTTCTTCTGAAGTGCTGTATTTGCATTTGATCGGCAGGCCTAGGGTAAGTTCCCAGTGATGACCAAGGCCCCTTGATATCACTTGGGAGTTCCCTAGTTGGACAGGCGGGGGATACTTGTTTGCATTTGAAACGGGTATCCATTTGTGGCGGAGCTCTCGGGCTAAGCAAACTTGGAAGCAAATACATTTGGAATTTGAATTATTTGTAAGCTTGGAATTTGAATTTGTTTCAGCCTGTCATTTGTAAGTCTGTGCTTCCGTCTACTGATAAAGGCCTGGTATTGCAATCTAAAATTTGTATTTGTATTTGCATTTGCATTTGTATTCAAAATAAGTTACTACGAGAGGCGTGCCATCTAGTCCATCTAACAGCCCATTGGGTAAAATCTTGAATGATTGGTCAAATTATAGTTATCCATCTATAACTAAGAAAAAGATGATATTTCATTGTAATACTGCTTGTACACTGTATAACTTAGGCTCTGGGGAACAGTGGCCTGAAAATGGGTCATTAGATCACTATACTATCCTCCAGTTAGAATTGTTCTGTCAGAAAAATGGTAAATGGACAGAAATGGTAAATGTACACACCTTTATGAAAGTGCATAATGAGGAAGAGAGTAAACTAGGAGCCAGACTGATGGTTCAAAGAGAAGTAAAGGGTAAACATTAGACTGGACAAAAAAAGATTACTAAACAAGTGAGGGAAGGAGAAGAATCTTCTATAAAACCAAAGAAAAAGTTAAAGGAGATATTTGATGACAAGACACCCGACCAACAGACGGAAGAAGATCTAGAGACAGAACAATGAATTGCTTTCTGGAAGAGGGGGATTCATCAAGGGGTGAAACTCCCCTGGCCTCTCCCTCTGCTCCAGCTCTGCTGCCACCTCTGGCGGCAGCCCAGCTGACTGCTCCTGCTCAAACAGCTGTTCTCCAGCTTTCTCTTCTGTCACTTCACCACCACCCTCGGCAGTCATTGCACCACCACCTCCAGTATCTCTACCATTTCCTCCTGCTAGCCTTCTATCACCCGCCCCGCGGGAACTCCATCGCCTCGGTCACTTTGCCTCTTCCTCCACCGCACCCTACCCTACCTATAGACTCTTTGCCTCCCCCATTCACTCTAGGACGGGAATTTGTAATGGCCTCCCCCTACAGGACCTGACAGGGTACCCAATTTGGCCTGGGAAAGCCTTTACCCATAGCAGTGCAATAGCCCTTGAGACAGTTGCCAGTTGGAATTAGCACAAGTGGACTTCCTGATAATTATATATGGGCCTATACCCCATTTGCAACTATGGACTTGCTCTATTGGAGAAATCAACATCCATCATATAGTAAGGACCCCCAGAAAATGGCTGAAATTTTTCAAACTATTTTCTCAAGCCATCGCCCAACTTGATACACAGCTGCTGCTTGGAATGCTTTTAACCTCAGATGAAAAGAGACTGATCTTAGAGCCCACTCAAAGGGAGGCTCAATGTTTAAAGCAAGGAAACCCCACAAATGCCCGCCATAGATCTAGCTGTACCAACCACCAAGCCAAACTGGGACCCCAATACAACTGAAGGTCTGATGTTAAATAATTACAGACAGTGCATCCTAGCCAGCCTCACAAAGGGCTTTTTGAAACAGACTAGCTTTAACCAGGTACAAGCTCTAAAACAAGAGCCAACGGAAAACCCATCTGCCTTTTTGGAATGGATCCAACACACTTATTGAAAACACACCACCCTCGATCCTGACGGTCCTGAAAATGTATGCATGGTAAATATGACTTTTACAAGCCAAAGCTCAGACAATATAAGGCACAAACTAAATAAGATAGAAAGCGCAGTAGCCAAAGATCCCGGGGAATTACTGGAGGTTGCCTTTAAAGTTCATAATGCCAGAGAAGAAAGGAACAGAAAACCTGTCAATGTTATGATAGCAACCCACGTGAGAGCTTTTAGTCAACAAAGACCCAGAGGACAAAAGGAAGATGAGAAAAAGTGAACTGTGACTCTTGATCAGTGTGTTTACTGTAAGGAGAAAGGGCATTGGAAAAAGGACTGGCCAA